AATTGAGAGAACTAGGTTTTGTGCTATGGTCTTCGTACACTGTGAAAAAATTCTCTGTAAAAATGTACACTGAATTGTTGAACCAAACTTCTAAACAGAAATCTGGAAAACTCGGTTAAACCAAACCGAATGAAGAATCATGTGAAACATATCATACTTCTCTGGTTTCACATGCCACAGAAAATGCTTCTGAACTTTCTTCACCCTCATCTGCATTTGCCTGTACCGGCGTTCCGGTATTGACATCAGAATCTTCTTCAAGTTCGGGATATCTTTCTCCGGCACAAAAAGCGCAAACGATTCCCAGTTAAAAACCTCGAAAAAGGGCGGTACAAAGTTATCCGATATTATGACAGGAACACAATCATAGAAAATGGCCTCTACCACTCTTGGACTGTTGACTTCAAAGCCTTTGGCACAAATGCAGTACTTGCTAGTCTTCATGAACTGAAGGTAGTTCTTGTTTCCTTTCGTCCGCGGAAGTTTCCCGAATATTTTCAAGTCGGGATCTTTGTTGTTACCCCAGTAAGAGAGGAGAATTGGCCGAAGATACCCGTGATCGGGCTTCCCAGCAAAGAAAGCAAGTAATGGCCTTCGCGACGCGGACTTTCCACCGATGTTACTAAGGGGTTTTTTGGGATCTCTAACGAATGTCTCTGGTAAAGATGTGTCTTTTCCAAAGATGAAGCCTTCTTTGACATCCGAGTTGCACAACGCCCTTATACTCTTCGCAAAATGCTTCCGCGTCTCTGATGGAGCCTGAAAATGTCACAAACGACGTACACATATCAGAAAATGATCTAAATGATCCAATATTTATAACCTCATAGACAAATCTCACAAAAAACCTTATCTTTATCAGAAAATGATCTCAGAGATCACATCTTTACAACTTCACAGAGAAATGTCACAAAACATCATACGTTTTCAGAAATGATCTCAAAGATTGCGTCTATATAACTTCGTAAAGAAATCAGAAATGCCACAAAAGATTCTCATGACAAAGAGGAGAAGGCATTACCCAGTCATGGCAGGCGGCGAGGAAATGATCAGCCCCGGAAGTTCGATTCCAAAAAGGGTATTTTACGGAAATGAAGTCTATATAGTCTTTTAGATACTTAATGAGATTGCGGTGACTGTGAGAGTCCTGAACATACAGTCTCACCTCGAGCATCCGGGAACTGAAGGGTAAATAGAAAAGATGAGCTTTCGCAGCGTCCTTTGTGACAAATTTGTTGTCGTTGGATTCCATAATTTTCATAAACCAGCCTTCGGATGCATATATCCCTCTGAGTATTGGACTGTGCATTATAGGTCTATCTCCTTCTTTATAGACATAAACCTTCAACATCTTCTCCATTAACTCATAGCTCCTGAAGAATTCAATATCAAATCAAATCAGTATCAGAACATGAGCTTTGATGCAGCTTCAAGAAGT